CACGCCACGTACTTCTCGAACCTTCGTGAATTATCGGGAGACTACTAGATTGGGGTAGTCTGGTATATATAAGATGGTCACAACATGACGACACAGTGAGTAATTGAACTGCAGTCAGAGAGTGGGTAATTGAACTAAGTATTATTGAAGTTGAACATGCGAGACGTTCGTTGTTATAGCGCGACTGTTGAAAATTAAGTGTATCGCAAAGTTATATTCAGAAAGAATAAACCAGTTTTATTTAAGAAAGGACTTGTGTTGCTAAAGTTTCGTCAGAACGAATTTAAGGAAAATTAACTAACGAACAGACGTAACAATACATTCATTCCAATTGGCCCTTTTTCACATATAGTCGTTATTAGGTGTCTATGGCTAAAACCAAAATAAAAAAAATTCTAAAACTTATAAAGAAAAGTTGTTAATTAGCTGATATCTTCTGCTTATGTCAGCTTCTGTACACTTAAAAATATTTAACTTCTACGTGGGATATCAGGAATATAAAATAAATAATTTTTATAATATCACACACTATTACTCTCCACTGAATCAAACTCAATTGGCTTACATTATTAGTTTGTCTTTCTCTACCATAAAACACCATGCAGTAAATTAAAGAGGTTACATAAATTTGTTTTAACATATATATAACATAGTCTAACAATCAATTTGCAAGACTGTAACTTTCACATTTGAACATATGATTATTACTTGGGCAAGGAAAGATAAAAATAAAAATGCATTGGAAGTCACACCTGATGTCAGAAGCCCCATAGAGGCACACCCATGCAAAACTGCATCTTGTCTCGACAGGGTATATACTCTTCACCCAGAAAATAAGAGGAATATGACCTTCTAAATTTATCATTTAACAACTTTACTGGTTCTGTACAATAATATGTAGCATGCCCTCTTATGATGATGTCTAAATGCTAAAGTTATCCTAATCAAATTACTGGACTAAATGAGACAGAATACAGTTATGATCTTAGGTTCTAATGCATAATTCTTCAGATTCTTCACAGTACAGTATTCCATTTACATTTAATCTTTGGTGGACTAATTATTAGAAAAAGAAAGAAAAACTCTTACAGGTTTGATATAGAGCTCAAAATTAGCAACTCTGAAGACAGAAGTGGAATCCATTGTGCGAATTCCATCACCTGGCTGATGGCTTGGAGTACTTTTCCTCATTTTATTATCCATTTTTCACAAGCTCCATATACTGCAACTGGTCCAAGTGAATTAATTAATATAAAATGTATAAATTAGATACAATTCAAATAGAAAAAAAATCACCATGGCAGACTTGATACTGAAAATAAATTGCATCTAGAATTATATTTATAAATTTTCATAACAAATGTACGGTTATTAGAGATGTGAGCAGTACAGTAAGTACTAACAGACATTATCACAGAATATTTTAAAGAATATCTTAAAACCTCTAATAATGTATCAGACTTTCTTCTTTTATTAAACTTTACATTTTCCTTACCTGCAAATGTATTTCTGATAGATACTCACCTCTTGACACAGAATAACTATAATTCAGTGAACTGGTGGAGGGGCTGGTGAAAAATTTTACCTAGACGAGCTCCGTTCAGCAACACCTAAAGGGAAGCCCATGGAGTGTGACATCCAATGGCAGGGGCTCCATTAGGACAAAGATACAACCAGAGTATACTCTTCACTCAGAATGTAGGTGGAAAGAGACAAATAAGCTTTATGTGTTGCAAGGCCAGGCAAAATGAAAACAATCAACTAAGTACTTGTACACAAGTAGTTGGACAATCGATATGCGTTGGGTTGTTGGGGCACATTCAGACTGTACCTTATGTATTCACCTCAACTCTACTGAACAGACTCTAGCTGCAGGAGGAGGGCACTTTAGTTATGAATTATTTTTGTACAGTGTTTCCCAACTCAACTCTACTGAACATGCTCTGGCTGCAGGAGGGGGGCACAATAGATATTTATGTTTCTGTGAGAGGTGACCAACACTACACTGACAGTGTCATCACTGCCATACTTCTCACAGTATTGTGCTAAGCCCAACTAGTGAAGATTCTCCATGGTCCACTACCCTAGTGGCAAGGAACTGGTAAGTGGTAAGGATTTCCTATGTTCCACTTGAAGAAATAAGGGTGGAAAATTTGCACTGTGGAGACCTGGAGAAGTGACTGGATTCTCATTGGACCTACAACCAGAAAGTTATTTTACTAGAGACAGTATAATGGATGACTGCGAAACACTATTTTTAAAAGCCAGCAAGCATGAGCCAATGAAGTGGGCAAAACACTTCTTTGGTGCCGAATTTTACCATGATAGTTCACGGAATAAGTACGTCTGGATTGGACAATTGAGTAAATATGTATACCACATGGTTACCTCAAGTGACCTTGCAAAACATTTCATCTTGCAGTGGGCACTCATACAGCCAGGGTGGATGGTATGGACACTTTTCATTATCCTGGATCTATGCAAGTTTTGGGTAAGTATGCCCTGAAAGCAACACCAGACAGGATCCTATGAAATTAAAAAGGGATTCTGAAAAAGAAAATGTACATATTCTTCTCAAAAACAGCAAGGTGATTGAAAAGTGGTAACTGGCGGAAGCCGATAATCCAGCAGGAGACAAAACAGCTGAATGGTTTAAATAATGAGAGATGAACATGTGGTGAGTTGTCCACATGCCTGCCAAGAGAATCTCATCTTAAGGCCAGCAAAAATGAGAAGCAAGAGAATGAGAAAGGTGACAACTTAAATGCAAAGAAATGTGAAATAACCTGCAAGTATTCACATCTAGAGACAAAAATACCAACTGAAGTAGTCATAGAAACCATACAGTTGGGGTAGAAGGAAGGAGGTCCCTGGAATAAAAGGGGTGGGTCCCAGTGTAGGAACAAACAATGGTGGGGACCCAAAAGGGAGAGATCTGTGATAAGCAACAACAAACTACCTGAAGAGGACACAGGTGCCAATCCAGGTTCAAATGATCAAATAAGTAATACAGAAGGAAGGAAGATAGGAGAGAAAGTACAGTTTACCTCCTGAGCAGTAAAAGTCTTAGCAAGGAAACATTGGTCCAGGGAGAGGAATATATAACTGCAGTGGAAGAGGGTGCAAGAAGGAGGAAGAAATAAGTCTGGAGAAAAAGAGGTTACAAAAAACAAGAAGCCAATGGCTCAATTGAGGCACATATAAGAGAATGCAAAAATACATTAAGGTCCCAGTTAGGCATGGGAGTCAGGCAAGGAGCTTGGAAAAAAAAAAGGAGGAGCAGAACAAGGTGAGGAGGACAGGGGAAAAAACACCCTGTGATATCTGGAATGTCAAAATGCCAAGGACAAGGCCAACACACCATGGATGAGCAGCCAGGTAAAAAGGCAGAAAGGTGGTATGACAACCAGGAGCAAAGGGGTGGCTGATGGACCAACAATGAAAGATCCATCACTTTCGATGATAAACAAACACAGTGGAAGGGCAATAGGAATGAGTCTAGAAGGATGCTGAATGATCAACAATGGGCAACAAACCAGAAAAATCCCACACATGAAAATGGAAAGAAGATATTCCTTGATAAAAAGGATATATTAAGTTGAAGCATGAGAGGGGACACTGGGTAGAGAATGGGGTGCCTGGATGCAAAGTAAAGAAGGAAACCAAGGCTGAGCTGATAAAAGAGACACTCACAATAGGACCTGACAATGAGTGTTGCATATCAAGGGAGGAGATGAAGAGGGGGGTAAGCATACAGAAAAAAGTGAGACCATCAACAGCCAGAGCCAAAGGATAAGGAACAGGAGTCAAGAAGAGAGGAAGCCCAGTGTTAAGAAGGGTGGCAAAGGTTTCTATGAGAGGTGTGCCCAACTGTAAGCAAGCCCAATGAAAGACCTGGGAGTGCAGAGACCACTCATTTAGTAGAAAGCAGACTGGTCAAGAAAGGCAATCTATCACCAAGCTCTTAGCTCCCAGCAAATGACAGATAAGACAAACTGATATGAATGGACTCAGAAGAATATGTCCAATGCCCTAAGGAAAAGGGTCCTGGAACATGTGCCTCCTGAATGGTTGATGTAATGAAACTCATGACATTGATGTAGTGGATCAGGACCATGTGATCCACCAGTAAACGTAGAAATGGGAACATGTCTGATAAACAGTGAGAAGCTTGAGCACATTGATGTATAGGGGACATTCGTCCTGCGTTTAAGTGCCAGAAGTCATGTCCTCATCCAAAGATCTGCTTCAAACAGAGGAAAGCATTGGTGAAGAGATAGGTCTGGCTTGGGAGTGGTAAAGGAATGCCATAAATATTATGGGCATGTTCTAATCATTATGACAATACCTTGAAAATAGTAGAGGAGAGGTTCAGAAATGAGTATAAGGGAACCTGAAAAAGAAACCCTTGGATCCACAAGGTCCACTGTACATGCCACAAAGTAACAAGTCCCTAAAAGTGATAGAACCTCATGATGAGAATGAAAAGCACAAATCCTGGTGACCAGACACACCATAGCTCAAAGCTGAACTCAGCTAAGACAAGAGATGAAGAAAATTCCCAAAAGGTCCAAATATTGAGTGGGCATGAGAAAGGACGACCCCCAACCAAGTACCATCCTGTAAAAGAAAGGAGAAGTGAGAAGAGGATACCATTTGAGAATAAGTCAAGAAGTCAATCATCCAAGAAAGGGAATGCCAGCTCCAGGCCATGAATATAATGAGAGATGGCCCTCACAATACCAATGAATAAAAAACAGGCCAATATTATGTCAAAGGAAAGAGCAAGGAATGGGAAAACATGAACTTGATAGATGACATAGAAAACATACGAAGTACGGATTAAGAGGGATGTGTAAGAAGGTGTCAACACATCAACTATGGCAAACTGCAGACCAAAGACAGGGTCAGAAGAAGTAAAAAAGAAAATTAGAAGAAAGACCACAGTGGAGAATTGAAAAATGATTGTCAACAGAAAATGAGACCAACAGCAGGAGAAGGGAAGGAGATAGGTGCCCACAAGTCACAAATGACATGATAGTCACTGACAAGAAGGGTGATGAACTAGACGTTTAGTAGAGGGAGGATGAGAATGAGAGGAAGGCCTGGAACATGGAATGGAAAGGCTAGGGGGAGAAAACCTGCGAAGATAATGAGGACTGAAGTTGTATAACGTCAGTCCAGGTCTCCAGAGAAAAAGACTTTGTACACAAGTAGGTGTACAGTAAAGAGAAATGTAACCCAACCTAAAAAGTCCCAACATCAGGGGAACAAAATAATTAATTAAGCACAAAGCTACACATTGGGCTATCTGTGCTCTGCCCACCACGGGTATCAAAACCCGGGTTCTAGTGTTGTAAGTCCACAGACATACTGCTGTGCCACTGGGGGGCAGGAAGGACAGAGCAGAAGAACTGGAACAGGCTAAGCTGGTACAGAGAGGGGGAAACAAACTTCCACAGAAATCCTTTCTGGAGCATGACAAAGTGCCTCGGATAAAAGGTAGAATTAAGAAAGGGAATACAGGAGAGTAGTGAGAAAAATATGAAAACACGAAAATGAGGAAACAGAGAATGAATTAGAAAACAAAAGGGACCCAATCCCCAAGCAGGCCAAATAGATACTAAAGGCAGGGAATAATAAAAAAAAAAAAGTCACAAATGCTAGGGGAATGAAATCCTGGGCCCTGCTTCCCATGATTCTGGGCCCCTCACCCTCTCTTACCCCCTCCTCTCAATCATGTATATTATTTTTTAAGACTCACCAAGATGCAGCATCAGCATATAATTAGAAAATATTTGCTTGAGCCCACACTCCTCAATGGAACAGGCCCCGGTGATTTGCACTGGGTGCACCCCACTCTCCCATTACCTGAAAATTACTCCAATTACAGTTAATTTCCCAAATATTAGTTTAAACTATCTTTAATGAATATACTTAGTTTAACCCTGAATTAGTGGTGTGGGTTCACTTGACCCCATGAAATTTCTTTAATTAATTATTATGTGATAGATGGCACATTACTTAGCCCTGCTCACAGTAGCTTCCTTAATTGTGTGTCTATCCATGTTACAGTTTTCATTAGTGTTTTGTAGTTATAGGTTTTTGAAAAGTTTTAGATTGGGGGTCATATTTACCCCATGCAATTACTTGGATTATAATTTTTTGCAAGGTCAGTTTGTTTTTCTGTGATTTTAATTTACTTGATTTTCTTAGTTTATGGTTAAAAGATGTCATTATGTCTCTTCTTTTGTGGCATATCTCTGTTTAATTGTTTGTTTTAGATGAAATCTAAGTACTTGTACATCTTCATATTGCCACTTTAGCTTATATTATATACAGTATCTTTCAAATAATAATAAGTATAAAATAAAAATGCTAAATTAATTACCTTAATGACAACAGGGAGGAGTTGATGTTATCAATCAGTGTTGGAAATTGAAAATGAAGAGGTTTTTTTTAATAAAGAGTTTGTATTTTTTTCCCGGAGTTGAAAATGTTTAAGTTTTATAAAAGTATGGGGTGGTAGTTTTTCTCACTGTGCATAAGATCAACTGCTCCCTGTTGTCATTAATGTCATCAATTCCAGATTCTCAGTGTTTTTATTTCATATTTATTATTGTTGTTTTAAACATATGGTGTTTATAGTTATATGAAAGCCTTTTTCTATAATAGTTTCACTTAACAATGTTATTTATTAAACGTGTATGCCGCATGTTTTATCTTATATTCCATTATATTGTTACCGTTTAAATCTGTTCTTTCT